AAGAGATTGAGAAAAACTGAGCTGACCTGTGCGAAGGAAAATCGAGACGGAATTGTCAATGAACCCTGTCACGCAGACCAAATTATCACGGTCAGAAAACAAATTGCAACACTTGAATTTCGTGATCTGATGTTGTTGATAAATACTACACGTTTAGCGCCACAAAATGAATGCACATTTAATCTATTTGCCAGATAGACGAATATTTAGATATAAAGATGTGTAGATGTGATTAGACTTAAAATAAATTATTTGAAATATAAATATCTAAGTTCAAATATAACAACAATAAGAATAACGACAAAGCAGTACATGAAATAGAAACGAACTTATAACAAGGTCCAGCAGTAAAACAAAGAGCAACACGGCGCTGCCAAAACTAATGAAACAACTTCTCTCCAGTCTTTTGATGATGTTGATGTTTTCCATGGTTTCTTTTCTTTAGCAGATTTTATGTATAATGTTCGTCGCCACGGCCCATCGAGGTCGCATGTCTGCCAACTCGCTCAGTTGCGTATTTCGTTCACAAAGTGGACTAAGCTACTTTCGTTGATCCACTGGTATTTTTGTGGTCAACATATTTCTTCAGGCCTTCTTAAAGCGCTCGAAAGATCGCAAATCGGAGTAGTATTTTCCCCCTTGTTTTTGGTTGGCGATTTCTCGGAAACGATTCCTAAAGTCGCATGTCTGGACAATAATGTCGGACGTTTTCACTTCAATTAAGCCGTTTATTTTAATTCAGCATGCAATTTATTATCTAAGAAAAGAGTGTTTTGATGCCACTGTCTTAGATTTACCATTGTAGGCGAAATCAACTGAGGTAAAGGTAACCTTTGAAGGCGTAGAGTATTTTTTTTCCGGCCAAGAATCCTAAAGCGTCATGTCTTTCCGCGAAGTACGCCACAGCTCTTTACTTGATGACTGCAAAAATAATTCTAAGAAACATACACTGAACGCAGTTTTCCTTTGATAATTTCCCTGAAAATAAGCAGAATGTGCATAATGTTCGTCATCCTGAAGCGTCGAGGCTGCGTATTTCGACCACAAAGTGTGATTGAGTTGCATTTGTTGATCCACCGCCATTTCGAGATTTCACTTTCTTATTGACATATTTCTTCAGACCTTTCTTAAAGCACTTGAGAGCTCGCAAATTAGAATAATACATTTCCTTTCTTTTCGGTTGGTGATTTCTAGGAAGCGAGTCTTAAAAGTCGCATGTCTGGACAATTGTTTTTCACGTTTTACCTCACTCACCTTTATTCAATGCAGCATGCAATTTATTAGCTTCAAAAAAGAGTGTTTTAATTGCACCGTCTTGTATCTATGAACTGTTGGTAAAATTAACTGAAGTAAAGGTACCTCTGAAAAGCATAGAGTGTCTTCTTTCTAAGAATCCAGAAGCGTCATCTCTTTCTGCGAAGTGTGCGATAGCTCTTTGCATGATGAATGCAAAAACAATTCAAAGAAATATAAAGAGTAGTTTCCCATTGATAGCTTTCCAGGAAATAAGATTCTACGAAAGTAGTGGCTTCATAATATTTCAATTGAAGGAGGAATTTTTGTTCAACTAAAGGTCATCGCGTGTGCAGTGCTCACGAAGAGGCACAAATCATTACAAACAACGATTGAGCCAACTGTGGCTTATCTGCTAAAATATTACTCGAAGGTGACAATAACACGAAGAGGATCCCTTTTTCGCGTCGAAGAAATTAAGGAAAACCGAGCCAATATGTGCGGAGGAAAATCGAGACCGTATGGTCAATGAACTACTTGCTCTGCACAGACCGGTGAGTGGTTAACAATTGTTCACTGTAATGGAGGTAAATATTCACTTCTTTCATCAACACTTAGGTAAATAATTATTTGGTATATAACACAGAGAAACCAAATTAGTTAATTTCCGTCGATAGACCGAAAAATGGCGATGGGAAAGTTCTCTATCTGGAGCCTAACAGAGCCGGAATCCGGCCTGACTGTGATCCTTTTACGCGTCGAAGAGACTGAGAAAAACTGAGTCAATGTGTGTGGGGCAAAATCGAGACAGTATCGTCCATAAAACTTGTCACGCAGACCAAATTATCACACTCGGAAAACATTAATGCACATTTAATCTATTTGCCAAATAGACGAATATTTAGATGTAAAGATGTGTAGATGTCATTCTACTGAAAATAATGATTTGAAATATAAATCTAAGTTCAAATATAACTTCAATAAGAATAACGACAAAGCAGTACAAGAAATAGAAACGAACTTGTAGCGCACCAAGGTCCAGCAATAAAACTCAAAAGCAACACGACGCTAGCAAAAACTAACGAGACGACTTACTCAACTAAAATTAACTGAGAAATATCTAAAGAAAATAACAAGCATACTGGCGAGAAACAAATCGCTACCGGAGTTATTTAATTCTTACATATACTCACGCAAAAACGCGAACTGAATTGAATGGAAACAGAACATCACAATAGTAGTTCAATGGAAAGAAACACAAAATAAAATCACTTCGCAGTTATTTGACAATAAATAGAAATGCAAATTCTGGTAGCTACAGTGCGGATTGAGATTCGAGTGTGATCATTTTAAGCCTTCAGATGACGATATTCAGAGTTCTATTTATTTGGAATTCAGTTACGTCTGACAAAGGAATTGAGTTTCAAGATTTTCTGATGTCAAAGAAAGGTTCCTTAAATATCCCACATTCGTGAGATACAAGGATCAGTTGGATCCAATTGGTCCAGACGAAGAAGATGAAACTAGTTTATTTGCTCTACTGCTTAGCCATGTAGACAGGGCGATAGAAAAATGAATTATATTCAATATTTAAAAACACATTTTTCCTTACACCATGGCTAAAGATCTAAATAAGATATGGATGATACACTTCACTTAATACAAGATAAAGATTCGAAAGCAAGCAAGACATAGTAGACTGTATTATCACCTCTGAATGTCAGAATTGTTTTAGACATTGAATCATTGATAAGTTACTATCAACTTTCTCTATAAAGTTCAGTGAAGATTATTTACCTAAGTGGAGGCAAATATTCAGTTCTTTCACCGACGCTGAGGTGAATAATTATCTAGTATATGCCACACGGAAACCAACGATTAGTTTATCTCTGTCAATCGACTAAAACTAGGCGAGAAATTAAACTCTTGATATGCAATTTTTGTCTCTTCGGCTGGTGGAGGTGAATACCAGAATAAAGATCTAAAGCCGAACAGAGCCGGAATTCTGCATGATTGTGGCCTGAATACTGTTTATAGATCTAGACATCGGCATGACAAGAGCCGTACAAAAACACTGTGTGGACTGAAAAAAAACAAAGCAAAACAAAACAAAAACAAAAACAACAAAAAACTGAACGTTTGAATCGGTTTTTAGGCGAGAGCTTTAAGTGTTTGCATTCCGGAAGCGGCTATGGCTAAATGACGGGCAGCCGGTCAAGATTCTCACGTAACGATCGGAAATCAAAAACAAAAAAAAAAAGAAAAGAAAAAAATGATAAATAAAGGGAATCTAGACAATTCAAACTTTTATATGTCTATGAGTAGAGGAACTGCTAAGCGTTCCCAAGGACATTCATAAATCGCTTTTCTAACGCTCGGCTTTCGCTGGGCTCAGAATATAGAGCTATGGATGTTAACACTTTGCGTGAGGTTAACTGCTGGTCACCGTTCTCAAATTTCTGATTGACCGGCGGTCGGAAATTTTTCTAAGAATTTTTTCTTGGTAGGAAAAAGCACATGCCAATTTGTTAATATCATAATGAAACTTAAGGTAGCTTTGTACTCCAGTTCAATTGAGGTTCCCTCATTGCATTTTACATTTATATATGAAAAACTTTATTGCTAAAATACTATAGTTAAGAGTATATTTACATGGCGAACAATTTGGGTAGCCTTCAAGAAAAAAAATTTGAAGTGCCTCCTGTAGTCAATGTATGTCCACTTTCCTTTGCCGAAGCCAATAGTAATGATGGTCAGTGCTGTGACTCACGCGGACTAGCTGCGCTTTAACCAAGTAATTTAAAGCCAAATAAGTTGTAGCAAAATGACTTATAGGGAAACAATCATGTTGATGTAGCAATCAGCTTTTAAAAAGGCAAAGGCTCGGCTGTTTCCTTAGTTCATCCCGATGTTTGAACCTGACCAGCCAAGACTAGTTGAAGGAATGAGGCCTTCCACAGATACTCAAAAATTAAGCCTATTTTTGTTACTGAAATACAACCTTGGACGCCTTCCTCTAACAACCCTTGAGCAACATCTTCTACTGAATCTCGGATTTCCCCCTCTCTTAGATAACCTCCTCGTCCTATTTATCATCAGTCCTCGTCCGAGCTTTACCCTTTAGGGCTTTTTTTCGTTTAAACCTTAAAACTCTTCTCCAGCTAGCTCTCTTGTAATGAGGTTTTCGAGGGGCAAGTATGCCCTTTGTTTAAAATGGTTCTCCTTTAATATTTTCACCTTGTTTTCTTTTCCTCCTTTTTGTTTTTGTCGCGATTGCGGATCCTTCTCAATGCGAGAGAGAAACGTCCTTTTCAGGTTTATTAGGGTAGTCGTCAGCTTATTTTGAGGCCTCTTGAAATTATTCGTGAATATTTTGCACTATTTTCTTGCAATATTTCGAGAGCATTAATCGATGAAGATTTCACAATAATAAACCTTAGCTTACGCAAGGAGAGAACTTTACCGGTATATTTTATAACCAATTTCATAGTTATTCAGACAAAATCCTACTCTTCCCTCGGATGAACATTGCCAAAACCCATTTCTGATAAAACCGCGGCAAAATAATAATTGACCTCTCGCCAAAATCATTTCCTCGAACGTCAAAACAACCCTTCACCAGATACTTAGAATGTTTCCCACCTCGTGATTCCAGAAACCTTTGCGCATGACACAAGGATCCAATTACTAGAATTTCAACCATTTGACTCAACCCACGCTTAAATAGGGTGGTACCCTTAATAGAACGGAGTTTGAGCGGAGATCAATTCCACAACGAACAGGATAAAGATGATTTGCTTCAGCATTTTATTTGCTTTTGGTAAGTCAATTCACCTTTGCAATCAATTTTCAGATATACTATCGTTGTTTTGTGTTTCGGGTGCAAAGCATTTGCAGATGGGCATGTAATTTAAACAGAGGCTATCAATGCACGCAAACAACTAAACCATACCTTACAGTCGAGTTTGTCGATGTGATATTACTTCATTAATGCTATTGGCTTGTTTTCAGCCTGTGCAATGATTTCGATATTTGCGATGGCTTCGTTTCTGATCTTTCTTTCGAATCTTAACACTTCTTTAACGGAGTATGTAGAATGTTCGTCGCCCTGGAGCGTTGAGGTTGCATGTTTCCCTAACTCGCTCGGTTGCGTATATCATTCACAAAGTTGGCAGAGTTACTTTCATTGATCCACTGGCATTTCAAAATTTCACTTTCTTGTTAAGATATTCCTTCAGAACTTTTATTAAAGCACTGGCGAGATCGCAAATTGGAGTAATTTTCAGTCAGTTATTTCTAGGAAACGAGTCTCAAAATCGCATATTTGACACAAACGTCCACACGCTTTTAATTGATTACACCATTTATTTCAATTCAGCATGTAATTTGTTATCTTAAAAACAGTGTTTTAATGGCACTGTCTTGCATCTTTACATTTTAAGTGAAATTTAGCGAAATAATGGTACCTTTGGAAAGAGTAAAGTATCTCTTTTTCCAAGAATCGTAAAGCGATCAATTAAAACGTTTCGTCGTCCTTGAATGTTAAGGTTCCATGTTTACCTAACTCGCTCACTTGCTTATTCCGTGTACAAAGTTGTCTGAGATACTTTTGTTCATCCATCATTTTAAAATTTCACTTTCTTGGAAACATGTTTCTTTGGACTTTGCTTTAAGCACTCGAGGGATCGCTAATCAAAGTAATATTTCCCCCTTCTTTTCAGTCAGGGATTTCTATGAAATGAGCCTTTAAATTGTCTGAACAAGCATTTACCAGTTTTTACTTCACTTCCCCCTATATTTATCAACTCTGCAATGTATTATCTACAAAAAGAGTATTTTTTATGGTACTGTCTTGAATCTATAAATTGAAGGTGAAATTAACTGAAGTGAAGGTACCTTTGAAAAGCAAAGTGTATTTTTTTCCAAGAATCCTAGTTCATCATGTCTTTCCGCGAAGCACGCGATAGCTCTTTGCATGATGACTGGAAAAGCAATTCAAAGAAACACTTAGAGCAGTCATCCTTTAATAACTCTCCTAGAAATGAGTAGAATTTCTATCATTTTCCTCGTTCTAAAACGTGGAGGTTGCATGTTCGCGCTCAGTTGCGTATTTCGATCACCAAGTTGGCTGAGTTACCTTCGTTGATACACGGGCATTTGAAAATTTCACTCTCTTGTTAACACATGCCTTCAAACCTCTCTTAAAACACTCTAGAGATCGCCAATAAGAATAATATTTATGCCCTTCTTATCGGTCAGCGATTTCTACGAAACGAGTCAGCAAATAGCATGTCTGAAGAATCATTTCGTACTTTCTTCATTACTCACGTTTATTTAATCCAGCATGCAATTTACTACCAGCATGCAATTTAAGAAGCAAATTTAAATCAGTGTTTAGGGAGAGCCTTGCGTGTTTACTTTACACATGGGAAAAACGTTGAACCACTAGGGAAAGACGAAGTCACGAAATGTGATACACGATCTTTAAAAGACATAATAACCTCCACACAAGTCTCGTGCTAATTTAGTAGCACAAAAAACAGTAGTGATACAGCGTTAGACTGATAATCCAACCAGTCGACATTTTAATGCAAACAGATAAGACAATCATCGTTATCGTAATTTAAGTCTGGCAGGAAGAGAATAAGCTGTGGGTAAAGTATTAATCCATGAGCACATCGGGTTTTTCATTTGAAGTCCAGTTTTTCTTGTTAAGTTTCATAATCCACAGGAAATCCAACGACGGTTTGATCAAAGGCTCCTTGAAGTCACCTGATGCATTGTACAATTACCGTAGAGATTTGGCACCGCTTTTAAGAGGAAAACGTGTTCTCTCGTGAAAATTTGATGTCAAACTCGGGGGGCAGTTCACAGCCAAGTATCAAAGTGAAAATGATTCAAAAAAGCCATATTTCCTTGTTTATATTTAGTTAATTTAAGTACTCAAGGCAATGACTGTAGTTTAATGACTTTCGTAAGATGTGGTGCAGCGGAGAGAGCAGGGCTGGCTCTTGAAAAAGAGCCGTTTAACTCAATTTTACCCCTTTTCTATTCTTCGCTTTCGCTGTCTGTTTGAGTCTGTTTCGAACTCGTTGTTTATGAAGTCTTCATCGCCATTTTCTTCTCTATTGCCACTTTAATTAATTCAATTCTATCTCTTCTCTATTCTTCGCTTTCGCTCTCTGTTAAAGTCTGTTGCGAACTCGTTGTGTATGAAGTCATCATCGCTGTTTTCTTCCCTATAACCACTTCTTTCCCACACCGCCTCGCCTTCGGGTCTCATCGAGAGTATTCTAAATGCCACAGGTCTTTAAGGACTCCATGATCGACTCTGCTGGAATTTTCGAAACTCCGATGCGAATTTAAACAGCTCCGCTGAAAAGCAGATGCACAGTAACGTGAGACTTTGCCATCTCCTTTAACATAAATGAGCAGATGAGAGTCCTTTTATTCGAAAGTCAGATCAATTTCGGTATCTTGACAACTGGGATCAATATCAGTATCTAGGCAACTGCCCCCCTACCCCTCCCCTAACTCAACAACAGTCAATTGACGACAAGTTAAGGTTAATGTTGGGTTAGGAGAAGGGTAGGTAACCAAAGGCTCCTTGGCGCTACCTCATGCATAGGGTTTCAACATTCAAACGTACCTTATAGATGACCGGTTGATAAATGACTTAAAAAGCGTCGTCCGCAACACTTAAAAGAAACGATGCAAAAACTCGTGATTCGTGAAATTGTAAACCAGCCTAAGGCGTGATTTGCCTCTTCAATAACCTTGAAACTTAAGATCTCCCTGAACCTTGGTTCTTAGGTAAAGAGATTTGAAGACTTCTCCTTTAAATACGTCACGCGTTGAACTGTGTGACGCGTGAATTTTTTGTGTCTACTGCTTTTGAAAGCATTGAACATTACAGTCGTTGAAAAAGTCGAGCGCGTAAGTAAACAATAGAATCACTCTGTAAACAATCAGTCTCAGGCCTAAACAATTGAAAAAAAGAACCGCTTTGCGAATTCGGGAATTTTCGCTTGCAATCAAAAATGTTCCAACCGATCTTCGTTCCCGTTGGCTTAGCACATAAGTCGCTGAGGAATGCCAGGAATAGCGTGTCCCCGCGGCCGACTTTAAACAGTTTCAAGTCGGATTTTCCGTTTTTTCCGATCGAATTAGCTCTTTGGAGCTCAAAATGAAAGGGAACAATGTTACAGACTACTCTGCGTAAAAAAGCCACAGAGTAAGCTGTCGAGTTAAACGACACTTCGATTCACCGAAGTGATGCGAATTATGGCTTAAAGGGAAAATTGAAGTTTCGGAGTTCGCGTGAGGCTGAGTGAATCCAAGGCCCGCTAAATATTATATTTAAATAATGAAATGTCAGAGAGGTTTTTTTTTTTTTTTTTTTTTAATAGAAGAGTTTATCAAAGCATAAAACTTTCAGAATTTTCAAGATGATGCTACGCAACTTCTGGCTGTGAGGTCAAGTACATAATGATCTAGGCGTGGTGAAATCTACAGCGCGGTTTCTTACCCTAAAGAAGTTCGCTTTTCGCTTTTAACGGCAAATCATAAAACTGTTTTTGAAATCTTCAATACCACATTAAAAGATCACTTCATGGAGTTTACATAGTGGTAATGCTTTCTATGACCAGCTCAATTATTACGGTTAACGGGCGTCTAGCGAACGTACCAGTAGGTTTTCCAGACTTAATTGCTCAGCCAGCGGTGTATGAAATACAAGAAGAACTAAGTTAAGCAAAAGTAAAGTACAACGATAACAAGGCAGGTAAATGAAAGGCGAACAAAGAAAAGATAACAAGGACATACGTGACAGTTAGGATACTTGTATAAAACGACATACAGACACTCTCTAGAAAAATTTGACCAATTGGCGCGAAGCTTATTCGATCTACAAATGTTGCGTGGAGATGGAAGTTAGGAAACCGCTGAAAGACTTTTCAACAGGATCCATTTTGAATCCTGGTCAAGTCTAGTTACAGGGGGGTGGGAGAATTCGAGAAAGTTATGGGAACCCAAAACGCAGTCGAGAGTTTTCATGACTTTCTTGAGCGTCTCACGGCTCCCCAACTCCAATTAGCTGAGGCTATGTAAACACGGAAAAGCCCTCTGATGTTCAAATATCATGTATTTCTTCCTGTTTCTGATAAAAAATATATTTCAATAAATAATATATACGAGGACTCGCCTGGTCGGCTGTTATGGGAAAATCTCAACCGGCATAGCTGTTTCGGCTTCGCTGCTTGCTGATTAACATCATTCTGGTTAATAAGAAGTTAACTGGTTATGTCTTTCAATTTTTATTCCCTTTTTTTGTTTTGTATTTAATATTATACAGTTTTTCTCGTCGGAAACGTTGCCACCTCTACTGACGTGAAAGTGGGCTCCTGTACTTTCAAGGAGGACTTCTGCAGAAATCGTAAATGCAAGACTTCTTTTTTTAAAGCATTTCAGAAAGACCCAAACGCAGATTGTAGGTAAGTAAGTTTAAAGAGCGGCGTTTCCTAAAGATGTTAGCATGCCGAATACCAAACAGCTTTTGCAACAAATCTGTGGAGCTAGGAGTAGCATTTTTTCCAGGCCTGATTTATTTCTGTAGTTTATTATATCTGTTCGCTTAACTCTTCTCTATCCTAAGCCATTCTAATTTCTTTTGTGAGATTTTGTCTTTTTTAAGTTCTCCTTTTTTTTTTTTACCTATCTGTTTTTCTTTCTTTCTTTCTTTCTTTCTTTTCTTCTTTCTTTCTCTCTTTCTTTCTTTATTTCTTCCTTCTTTCTCTCTTTCTTTCTTAATTTCTCTCTTTCTTTCTTTCTCTCTTTCTTTCTTTCTCTCTTTATTTCTTCCTTCTTTCTCTCTTTCTTTCTTAATTTCTCTCTTTCTTTCTTTCTTCTTTCTTTCTTTCTTTCTTTCTTTCTCTCTTTCTTTCTTTCTCTCTTTCTTTCTTTCTTTCTTTCTTTATCTCTTTCTCTCTTTCTTTTTTCTTTCTTTCTTTCTCTCTTTCTTTCTCTCTTTCTTTCTTTCTCTCTTTATTTCTTCCTTCTTTCTCTCTTTCTTTCTTAATTTCTCTCTTTCTTTCTTTCTCTCTTTCTTTCTTTCTCTCTTTCTTTCTTTCTTTCTCTCTTTCTTTTTTCTTTCTTTCTTTCTCTCTTTCTTTCTTTCTCTCTTTCTCTCTTTCTTTCTTTCTTTCTTTCTTTCTTTCTTTCTTTCTTTCTTTCTTTCTTTCTTTCTTTCTTTCTTTCTCTCTTTCTTTTTTCTTTCTTTCTTTCTTTCTTTCTTTCTTTCTTTCTTTCTTTCTTTCTTTATCTCTTTCTCTCTTTCTTTTTTCTTTCTTTCTTTCTCTCTTTCTTTCTTTCTCTCTTTCTCTCTTTCCCTCTTTCTCTCTTTCTTTCTTTCTTTCTTTCTCTCTTTCTTTTTTCTTTCTTTCTTTCTCTCTTTCTTTCTCTCTCTCTTTCTTTCTTTCTCTCTTTCTCTCTATTTTTTTTCTTTCTTTCTTTCTCTCTTTCTTTCTTTCTCTCTCCCTTTCTTTCCTTCTCTCTTTCTCTCTTTCTTTCTTTCTTTCTTTCTCTCTTTCTCTCTTTCTTTCTTTCTTTCTTTCTTTCTCTCTTTCTCTCTTTCTTTCTCTCTTTCTTCTTTCTTTCTTCTTTCTTTCTTTCTTTCTCTCTTTCTCTCTTTCTTCTTTCTTTCTTCTTTCTTTCTTTCTTTCTCTCTTTCTCTCTTTCTTCTTTCTTTCTTCTTTCTTTCTTTCTTTCTCTCTTTCTCTCTTTCTTTCTTTCTTTCTTTCTCTCTTTCTCTCTTTCTTCTTTCTTTCTTCTTTCTTTCTTTCTTTCTCTCTTTCTCTCTTTCTTTCTTTCTTTCTTTCTTTCTCTCTTTCTCTCTTTCTTTCTCTGTTTCTTCTTTCTTTCTTCTTTCTCTCTTTCTTCTTTCTTTCTTCTTTCTCTCTTTCTTCTTTCTTTCTCTCTTTCTTTCTTTCTTTCTTCTTTCTCTCTTTCTTCTTTCTTTCTCTCTTTCTTCTTTCTTTCTTTCTTTCTTTCTTTCTTTCTTTCTTTCTTTCTCTCTTTCTCTCTTTCTTTCTCTCTTTCTTCTTTCTTTCTCTCTTTCTTTCTTTCTTTCTTTCTTCTTTCTTTCTTCTTTCTCTCTTTCTTCTTTCTTTCTCTCTTTCTTCTTTCTTTCTTCTTTCTCTCTTTCTTTCTTTCTTTCTTTCTTTCTTCTTTCTTTCTTCTTTCTTTCTTTCTTTCTTTCTTTCTTTCTTTCTTTTTCTTTCTTTTTCTTTCTTTCTTTCTTTCTTTCTTTCTTTCTTTCTTTTCTTTCTTTCTTTCTTCTTTCTTTCTTTTTTTTCTTTCTTTTCTTTCTTTTTCTTTCTTTCTTTCTTTCTTTCTTTCTTTCTTCTTTCTTTCTTCTTTCTCTCTTTCTTCTTTCTTTCTTTCTTTCTTTCTTTCTTCTTTCTTTCTTCTTTCTCTCTTTCTTCTTTCTTTCTTTCTTTCTCTTTTCTTTCTTTCTTCTTTCTCTCTTTCTTCTTTCTTTCTTTCTTTCCCTCTTCTTTCTTTCTTCTTTCTCTCTTTCTTCTTTCTTTCTTTCTTTCTTCTTTCTTTCTTCTTTCTCTCTTTCTTCTTTCTTTCTTTCTTTCTTTCTTCTTTCTTTCTTCTTTCTCTCTTTCTTCTTTCTTTCTTTCTTTCTTCTTTCTTTCTTTCTTTCTTCTTTCTCTTTTTCTTTCTCTCTTTCTTTCTTTCTTTCTTTCTTCTTTCTCTCTTTCCTTCTTTCTTTCTTTTTCTCTTTCTTTCTTTCTTCTTTCTTTCTCTCTTTCTTTCTTTCTTTATTCTTTCTTCCTTTCTCTCTTTCTTTCTTTTTCTCTTTCTTTCTTTCCTTTTCTTTGGAATTGAAGACACTTTTCCGTGCCGCAAAAAATACATCATACCCTCGCGGCTCGACTCTTGGCCATCATAGTTTTTGTCTTATCCCTACAGCGCGGAGGTCAGCAAATTTAAAAATTGTATGGTTGACGTGATGAAGTTTTGTATGAAAGACCTATTGAGCGAAAGCCAAATCAAAGTGATCGTTAACACCAGCGTGAAGAAAGATCAACTTTGTGACGGAGGTTATAATGCGGAATCCCCCACTACGCCACCAGGCAGTACCATTTGCTCCGAATCATATAACAATGATGTACAAAATTGCATGCGATCCTTTCATCAAAAATATATCAAGGACAGATCAGATCCCGCTCTTTGCTCGTAAGTTGAATGAATATGCCTTTATATCTTTGATTGCAAGTGAAGTGAAATGAGATGAAGGGGAAAGGGGAAGGAGGGGGGAGAGGGGGGTGAAGGGGGATGGGGTTAATATAACCCGGTGCCAGTTTTTGTTTGCTATCCTTGCTTGAAACATATGCGATTAATGTTGAACCCAACTTCACACCAACCAGGCAAAAGACAGAATACCTTTCAAATTGGGTAAATACACAGCTTTTTTACACAACTTAAATGTCGCATCACAACGTTATCTTCAATATAGTCCCGTTCTTCCTCTCTTTCAATCCCTTGATTGTTATCATTGGATTCTATTGCTTTTCATCCAGCTAGGATTCGAGTCCGTCATGGTAAAAACTTATTTCTTTCCTCCCTTCTCCCATCGAATTTCCTTCGATTTCTCTGACAGTTCACCTGTATTCTTTCGTATTCCTGAGTGGGTGGGATAAGAGTGAGAATTTAGTATATGCCAATGACAACTTATGATGACCAACCGAGGGCTGGACATTTTCCTCTCTTTAAAGAAGCCAGCGCGCCTAACAGTATGCCACCACTTTACTCTTTAGAGAGCTTTGACTTTTTCAAGTAATCTTCCTGAACAATTTATTTATCAGAGGATATGCTGAAACAAAGAAGTGTTTAAGGGACCTGATCGATTCTGACTGCAACTACACAGCCGAAACCAAAAAAATGTTGGACTTCACGTCTTATGGTGTCTACAATCCTTTCTGCGCAGACAATCGGGACCCTGGGGCCACCAAAAATGATCAGTGCTATAGCGTGGTGGATGATGGCGTGGTGGATGATGACAATGCAGCCGCTGGAACCAAGCCCAGCGTATTCCAGACGCTGATGTTTACTATCTTTCTGTTTTTGTTCCTCTTTAAAGCTTAAAAGACCTAAGCATCTTGTTTATCTTGATTTACAGAAGAGTTTCTAGTCTTATGGGTTTAGTTTGAACAAAATACAAAAAAAAAAGCAACAATAACAACAACAACAGTGAAGTAGAATTTTTGACATGATCACAGAAGTGCAGTTCATTTTAGAATCTGAGTTAGCAACAGTTGTAAAAGCTAAGTTTTAGAAGTAACAAACTCCTGGTTTCAGTAAAATGTTTGCTTTCATGTTTTGTTATCTTTCATTTTTTTCAAATAATAAATCATCATTTATCGACGGGCTTCTTGCCAAACAAATATCAGAGGGTGTGTTTTGGGATTACTTGAGTTAAATTTGGCAACTATTGTTAAAGGCTTCTTTAATTTGATTAAAGATCTTTTAGTGAGAATTATATTTCTGTGTACAAGTGGACTTTTTTCGTACGACTGTTTCGTGTTTTCTGTGGCAGAGGACAGATCCGATCTAGAGTTTTTCTTGTGCTTTACATGTTGCTTTACATCTTGTCCATTTTGTTTTCCTTTCCTTTATCCACTGACTTGTGACTATGGCTGTTCTTCCTTCTCTTCTCCAGAATTTTCCATAATATTTATCCAGCGCAAGTGATCGCACGAAAAAACACGAATCCAACAGCTATGATACCCATAGTAAGGCGTTATATTTAACCGTCAAACGTGAAAGCTACCCCCGCTGAATGGGAAAGCTGAAATTTACAGCTTAGCAACTCAACAGCGATTCGCCTTAGAAGTAACACAACTATTGTCCAGAGACGGACAACAGAGCTAAATAAGCGGTAAAACGTTTTCTGAAATAATGGTTAAATGCGTACAATTAATTATTGAATCATTTTTTTTTTAAATTATCGAACTAGAGGCTCGCAGTGTGAGCTGTAAAAGCAAACTGAAACACTCAGCGTAATCAAGGGAAGGAGGTCTATAGTGATAGATGATACGACCGAGTTCGAAGTTGAATCCTTTTTCCGTTATGTAATCCACAATTTTGAATTTTTAGGCTGATTAACAATGGACTCTCCGTCTGACTCCCGTTATTTTCTCCCCGTTTCCCGTGTGCTGTTTCTCTTCTCCTTTTCTCGTTTGCGGTTCCTGTTTCCAGTTCTCCATTCTCTATTTTCTGTTCTCCTTTCTCCGTTCTCCTTCCTCCGTCCTCCTGCATGTAGCACGTGTTTTATCGTCCCATATATGGTATTGTTCCACGTGCTTACAACGGGACGTTGGGTGTGTTTCCTTCGAATAAGCCGAGAGTTGTGAGTAGGAGTCAATCAAAGCGAAGTAGCAAAATTGTTGAATCAAGGGAATAAATCGTAAGTTGATAAGGAAGCGTGGTACAGCTCTTTTACGTTTTCGACAAGAGTAAAAAATTGCCTTCTGTCTCAGCCAATCAGCATTCAGTAATTTTGCCCCGCATGTGATAACTTAGAAAACGCTTCAAGCGTATAGCCCTTATAAACCTATCGTCTACTTAAGGTTTATACCAAAGCTTTTTCCGTTTCAGTGAAGCATGTAAGCTAGATCCAAAATTTTGTTGTTTTCGCTGACAAATTCCACGCAGCTATAAACCCCTTAAGTCCCACAAATGACCAAGAGAGAATTTCTCCTTACAGTGTCAATGCAGTGACAAGCAGACAAGTGATTAGAATAAAGAAAGATAGCGATTAGGGAATTTTTAGTTGATCCAATACCAAATTCTCCAAACTAACATCATAAGAATCAAATGGCAGACAATAAGGAGAATTACTGATGAGATCTTAAAGGTTGTTAAGGCCTTTCATCGGAACTTTTGTGGAAATTTCTTATTTCATTATTATTATTATTATTATTATTTTATTTATTTTTTTTGTGGAAATTTTTTATTTTTCATGTGTGGTAAAAACTAGATCAGTTATTCACTTCCGTGACGTAAAAGAGGTTGGTATTTACCGAGCGGTGCATTCTCTTCATCTTTACTTCGGTCAAAATATTGTTTGCTATTTCAATTTGCAACTATTCAAACGAGTCTTCCGGAATTTAATTGCGAGCGAATCTTTCACTTCATCATATTTTGCTCATAGTAGTGCATACCTCCCAAACTGTTTCCTTGACACTTGACCAAAAGAGGATGAATTCTACTTTAGACACATATACCGGAGAAGGTTTCTTGTTAAGCTTAAACGACAATAGGCGAAAGATTGTAAGTTCTCAAGAGACACGCAAAGGTTAAAACGTTTGGGTTCGGTAAAGTCACAAACCTTTTATTTTACACTGAGAAAACTCATATTGCATCTTTTATGGTCAGAAAAATAAATGGAGTAGTGACAGTGCAGTTTTTTTCTGTTGAAAAACTAACACTATTTGATCCCTTTAATTCTCCCATTAATTGCATTAAAGAAAAAAACATGTCATGCAAGGCTGGGTATTTACGCGAGTAGCGCCGTATTTTGACGAGCCCGCAGGGTGAGTAAGAATACAAACAACGACTAAAAATACTCAGCTATACTACACTCCAAAACGTCACATAAAATATTCATTACCTTATTCCTTCTTTTTCTGCTAAGTCTTTCTCTGCTCATGGAGCAGAGATAGGAAAATACGGACCGCACTAAGAAGTCGTTACCATTGCCCTCTGAGAAAAAAATAAACATGGGTGCGCGATCGGTCTAAACACATCACGTGAATATTCCCAAACTAAACATCACCCAAATTTTATCCCCCAATTTTCAAATCTGACGTTCATTACGATACGTCATCGTTTAAAATTTAATTCAAGATGAGAGGGCTTTTTATGGTTGTTACAGAAGAAGGGAAATATTTGTCTGTTCATATAATCGTTCCGGAGAACACTCACAAGAAAACATCACATGCAACGAATATTAAGCTGTTGGTAAATTCTTTAATCTAGGCTCATTTTCCCAAACCAAAAGTATCAGTCACGCTCAATAGAATACAATTTCAACTTAAAACGTTTTCAGAACGTCGTCCCTAGGTTCCAGACAGCTTTTTTTTCTAAAAGGAAACAATGAAGGGTTAGAAAATAAACTGATATATTAAATATTTAAATAATAAATAATTGGGTGGACAGAATGGTTGCGGGGGTGACTGGAGGTCATCACTAGAGCCAGTTTGGATAATTGTAAAATTGGTCAAGGAAATTTTACAATTGTCGAGGAATGTCATAAACCGATAGTTGACTAAGGACAAAAAGCTTTCAAATAGAACTAGTAACCAAATATGATTCAAACGATGCTTTACAGGAAAGTTTGGCAGGGGCGTCCAAATCTGCGAAGAGGGGTCCATATCTGCTAACGGATTTTGACAAGGGAGTCTAAACGCTACCGGATTTGGCTGGCCAACAGCTTATAAACCGCACAAATGTCACGCTCTGTTCTTTGCACGTAACACAAGGATCCGATTATTAACAACTAAAAAACTCGACTCAATCAGACGTGCAAACAGAGTGGCACTCTTAATAGATCGCAGTCTGAGTGGAGATCGATTCCACAACATACAAAATAAAGATTACTTTCTTCAGTATTTGAAGATGTCTGGCTTCCAGCCTCTAAATCGCACTAATGTCACGCTCTAGTCTTTGCACGTGACACAAGGATCCGATTACTAACGACTAAAGAAAAAAAAATAGACACAATCAGACGCGTAAACAGAGTGGCCCTCTTAACAGATCGCAGTCTGAGCGGAGATCGATTCGACAACATACAAAATGAGGATCACTTTCTTCAGAATTTCATTTTCCTTTGGTAAGTTAATTCACCTTTTCAGTCGATTTTCAGATTATTAATGGTGTTTTGTGGTTTGGGTGCAAAGCATTTACAGATGGGCATGTAATTTAAACAGAGGCTACTAGTGCGCAAGAAAATAAACCGGACCTTACAGACAATTTTTTCTGTGTGATATGTGTTTCACTGATGCTTTTGGCTTCTTTTCAGTATTTTCGGTGTTCAGTTATTTGCGATGGCTTCGCTTCTAATTTTTCTATCGAGCCTTAACTCTTCTTTAGCAGATTTATGTACATTGTTCGTCGCCCTGGAGCGATGAGGTTGTGTGTTTCCCTAACTCGCTCGGTTGCCTAATTCGTTCACAGAGTTGGCAGAGGGACTTTAGTTGATCCACTGGCATTTTAAAATTTCAATTTCTTGTTAAAATATTCCTTCAGAACTTTTGTTAAAAGCACCCGCGAGATCGCTAATTTGAGTAATTTTCGATCAGCTATTTCTAGGAAACGAGTCTTAATTAAAATAGAATGTCTGAACAATCATTCACGCGTTTTAACTTCACTCCCCCTTATTTTAATTCAGTCTGAAATGTATTATATACGAAGAAAACTGTTTATATGGTATTGTCTCGGATCTTTAAATTGTTGGTCAAATTAACTGAAATAAAGGTACCTTTGGAAGGCATAGAGTGTTTTATTCCAAGAATCCTAATTCGTCATGTCTTTCCACGAAACATGCGATAGCGATGACTGCACAAGTAATTCAGAGAAACATTTACAGCAGTTTTCCTTTGATAGCCTCCCTGGAAATGAGCAGTATTTGTATCATTTTTCTCGTTCTAGAACGTCGAGATTGCATGTGCGCGCTCAGTTGCGTATTTCGATCACCAACTTGGCTTGGTGACTTTCGTTGATCCACCAGCATTTTAAAATTTCACTCTCTTGTGGATATGTGTATTCAGATTTTTTTTTAAGACACTCAAGAGATTGCCAATTAGAATAATATCTATCCTCTCTCATCGGCTAGCGATTTCTAAGAAACGAGTAAATCGCATGTCTGGAAAATCCTGTCTCACTTTCTACTTCACTCCAGTTTATTTACATCGGCATGCAACTTATTATGAAGAAAATAGAGTGTTTTGATGACATTTTCTCGGTTCTATAAACTGTAGGTAAAATTAACTGAAGTAAAGGTACCTCCAAGAATCCTAGAGCGTCATCTCTTTCCGCGAAGTGCACTATAGCTCTTTGCATTATGACTGCAAAACAATTCAAAGAAACATAAAGAGTAGATTCCTTAAATAGCTTCCCAGGAAATAAGATTTTATGAAAATAGTGGCTTCATAATATTTCAAGGAAGAATTTTTGTTCAAGAAAGGCTTGCTTCCAGAGCCCATCAAGAGACTGCAGCGAGGGCAGACGAGCTATGTTTAAATTGTTATTGTGCCCACGAAACCTGATGTCACTTGACTAACAAGATATATTCACACAACACGCTTTCCGTGGGTTGTTGAGTTAGTATGAGTTCTTTTGGAAAGGAAATCTAAACAAGTGTTTTCTCTGGATAAATAATTTATTGAGGCCTATCGAAGGACTATAAAAAGTAAAATGAAATCAGTGCTTAGGGGAGAGCCTTGAGTGTTTACATTTCGCAGAAAAAAGGAAAAAAAAACGTCGAACCCCAAGGGAACAACAAAGTCACGAAATGCAAACACGATATTTAAAACAATAACCTGGAATGCTAATTTAGGGTCATAAAAAACAGTCGTGATACGGCGTTAGACTGATAATCCAACGAGTCGACGATATTATTCATCAGAAAGACAATCATCGCCATCGCCTGGGAGTCTGGCAGGAAAAGAGTAAATTTTTTCAATTATGTCAAATAATCCATAAGTGCAACGGGTTTTTAAGGTCATATTTTAAATGACCCATCGTTTGAAATTCAGTTTTTATTGTTTAGTTTCATAATCCACAGGAAATTAAACGACAGTTTGATCAATGGCTTCTTGAGGCCACCTGATAAATATGAATGTACCGATTAATATATAGATTTAGCCTAAAAGCGGAGCTCTTATTAGTTTATTTTCCAGCCCTACATTACACTGAATAAAAACTGTAATAAACGTATCTACTGGCAAGTCTTTGTATTACATTTCAACCCAACCATTTCCTCAGTATATAAACACTATTACAATTTAATTAGCCAGGGAAATGGAAAACTTGTGACACATACACCATGTTTGAAATGCCATGACCATAGAGGAGGAGGATGTATGTGGGAATAGGCCCTCTTGTCTGTATCATTAATTTGCTAATCACTCCTGTTGGCAATGTTTTGATGAGGTTGGGCTATCAAGGCAAAGGAACTGAGGATTTTAGATGTACAATGGCAAGATGTACAATGACAGGTTCAAGAAATTTTCACAACTAACTTTCAAGGTTAGCCTACCTGGAACAATCATCTTGAACTGATGATGCCCAACAGAACTATCTGTAGTAAGAGGGCAGGCTTTACTTTCTTCATTTAAAGAAATAATGATGCTATCATTTTTCTACAAGCTCAGTGGAAAGTGAGAGTGAATGAGACTGATAGTGTCTTTGTTACTTAAATAAAAAATTCAATATCCAGAGCCAGGATAAAAAGTCAGACACGGTCTGCAAAACTCTCTTACATTAATTTTTTTTTAACCAATTAAGCTAATGCCTTACATTCTTGCTTAATGTGGATGCCAATTACTGGTAGTTTAACTTTTATGCATCAATATACAAAAAAATGTTCTCTTCATCTATGTGCCCTGAACATTACAGGGGAGGAGGCAGGTTAAACTAAACACATGAATTAAAATAAGAGGGCCCCCATTAATTTCAGTCCTAATTAAAGGAGGATGCTTGTTTTTCCAGATTCCCACCCTTTTATACTCACATATCTTGTGACCAATTCCTTATTTCAATGTTCAGTTTGGGTAGGACCATCAGTAAGAAACACCATGCATTAATGAAAGCTTGAGGTACACTACTAGTGTATTTAATGCAATCTGAATAATAATATTACATGTTACAGTATGGTAACTTACACAGAACAATTATATAATCACACAATTCCAAACAAAGGAAGTCAGGTTATTGACTTGCCTGCTTCAACTTTTGAGGGCTTATGGTACAGAGAATAGACATAGTAAACAGCTACAATTGATACAAAGTTGAAAGTTTGAAGGCTAAAAGATATACATGACAATCATCAGACCCTATGCATCCTAGCAAAAGAAGGGTCATTTACCACCATACCTTCTCCCAAATGTTCATGCTTACAGGAAATCATTTATTTTTGTCTTTAGGTGGTACTGTATTTACAATAGTTCTGCCATCAGAAATTCATTTTCTAAAGTTATCTCATAGCACATGACTGTACAGGTCAAGTGGAAGGTTCCTGCATGGGACTTAAATATTTCAATTACCTCAGCAAACTGTAATCATCAGAATTGCAAGCCATGGTGTATTTACCAAGTGCTCAAGTTTCCAAATTAGTTACCTAATTCTTACAGTGGAGTTCAGTCCTTTTTAGGCTATGAAATCATCAAATGTTACTCACATATTCAAATAATTACCTGAATCAAACGTTATAATTTATTTTTAATAACCTGCTACCTTTAATTGTGATCCAGGAATAGTAAATGGTATTGAATTAGAAAGGAAAAGTGTTCTTGAAACATTCCACATTAAATGAAATTTTGTTATGAATGTTAATTGTGATTGCAACAAAAACATCTGTGAAGCCATAACAATTACCTTTCCAAGTAAACAAACCATAATGATGCATGATATGAATAAATTTAATCTCACCCAGTCTGAATGTAGAATCCAAAATCTAATTAACTTACTGGTGAATAGGAAAAAGCTCAATGTGTTTTTCCTGCCTCTGTCATTCTAAATATCATAAATCAATCAATCAGTGTGATTTTTTTGATGATATGTGCTTTTTCTTATGAACGGCTTTTTTAAGTACCTATTTTTTACCAGCGGACATCTGAGAAGAATGAAGTGTACACTGGCAATTTGACACAATGCAGGCAAACCCTACAACTGATTAACCCTTTAACTCCCATGAGTGACCAAGGCAGAATTTCTCCTAACAGTATCAATACAATATCAATCAGATAAGTGATGAGAATAAAGAAAAATATAACCTTGAGAATGATTAGTTGATCCAATACTAAATTCTTAGAACTAACATTATAAGAATTGTATAGTTGACAGTAAGGAGAATTACAAATTTGAACTGGGAGTTAAAGGGTTAAATTTTATTTGATCAAAAACATGAATGACGATAGAGGAAATTAGCTAGCACAATTCAAGTTTCCCCTCTTTAAGTATTCTGTGATGTTTTTCTATCACATGGTAAAGTTTACAGTTTCCCTCTTTTAAATATCTTCTGTTCACTTGTTTGTTTGCTTTCCTAACAATCTTAGCTATTGTTTCCAACAAACGCGAGGAGCATATACATGAAAATGTGTACAGCTAATAACACTTTAATCCCTGAGAGTGACTAGCATCTAATTTCTCCATTCAATATCACCTGAGTCACACATTAGGGTCATGAGAATAAAGGAAATAATAATCAACTGAAGAATCTCTTGATTGTTAAACAAATTCTCCCTGCCAGCACATAAGGAAATATATAGAGAACAGTTTGGAGAATATGCACTCTGATATTGGGGTGTAAAGGGTTAAAGACATCATGTAATCAGTTATATGTATGTAGAGTACTGCTTGTATATGATTGCATTAAGTACAATTTATAATGCCAAGTAAACATCATTCTGTGGTCTTCTACTCTTCCACCCTGGAGATTGCCTTGTGTAACAAAAAAAAAAACCTTTTTAAAGACACTCTACAATGGTAGGTACACACAACTGACATGTATGAGTGATGCATGTCAAGCATTTAGGTGTGATTGTCAATTTGTCTTTTATTATTTGCAAACAGCTTACTTCTATCAGCTTTAAAAACTTCTGTACTTCTGTATCCCCACTTTCAAAGGAAAGCATTTCCCATGAAAATTTAAGCATTAAAGACATAAGTGTTTCATATCGTCAGATTCTCATCACATTCTTTTGTTACCGGTACATTTGAAAGCATAAGAATATTTTAATCATTACAATATGTTGAAATCCCTCATTTTAACCCTTTAACTCCCATAAGTGACCAAGAAAGAATATCTCCTTACAATATCAAAATAATATCAAGCAGACAAGTTATGAGAATAAAGAAAAGTATCAGTTAGGGGATTATAAGATGATCCAATAATAAATCCTCCAAACTAACATCACAAGAACTGTATAGGAGATTAAGTAACGAGAATTACTAATGAGATATTGGGAGTTAAAGGGTTAAGTCCCACTGTTAACCTAGACAGAATTTCTCTTTACACTTTAAGTATGACATAACACAGACAAGCAACAAGAATTAAGACAAATATCAATTTGGGGATTATTGGTTGATCCAGTTCCAAATTCTCAAATTTAACATCACATAAATTGTATGGCAGACAGTAAGGAAGATTACTCATGAACTTTTGGGAGTTAAAGGGTTAAGACACACATGATAATTATTTGTAACAGAAAGACAGCAAATAAATATAACAGTATACTCCAATAAAGTGTTCTTATGTAGAATGAATTTTCAAACTCATTGAAATTAAGTTGACTTCATAATTCATATTCTAGTTAAAGAAATGTGCAATATCTCTTTACAAGGATGAAAAGGGAATGTCATTTATGAATTTTGAAATAGTAAACGCTAAAAACAAAAAGATGGACTTTAAAAAACTACTAAATATAGCATATCTATTCACGGAGGTTTTAATCATTAGCTGTCACACAGAGATATAAAATAGCGTTTCTGAAAAAACCCAGGGCAATGAAATTGAAGATTCAGGAGGAGCATATGATTTTAACTTGTGTACTGATGTTCTCACCTGAACTCCATCTGGAATGAGAACTCTGCAGGCCTCTGTTTTATCTTGAATTCAAACAAAATATTCAATTATTTGCAGGCAGGTTAAGGAGGAAATTAAAGGATGGATACATGTTACATAAAAAGAAACCCCTTACAATAAAATAAAGCAGAAGCATCTTGCCTACATGTCTATGCTTCTGAATACAGCTATAAAAGGTATATTTTAAGTAATTATCTACATATGTTAACCGAGTGCAATATATGGTCATAAAAGCAATTTTATTCTAATCTTCCTACTTGAGAGGTGTTTTGTGTATCAAATATATCAAGTTCAGTACCTCCAGAGTCACAAGCCGAGCTTTTGGGGCAACAAAATAATAAAATAATCATCGAGTTATGTCAGGCCAAGATGAACAACTATTTCAGTTACCAAGCCGCAAAAATCTGGAACTCAGTTGAACCCGATGTAAGAAAAGGAAACCTATCCAACCCTGCGACGTCGATTAAGAATAAATCATTTTAATTCCTTTTTTTTTGTTTTTTTTTTTCAATCTCGTATACTAGAATCAGCTTGAATTTATTCCATTCTTACAGTAATTTGTACTCGCCTCAATCCTTATAAATTGACATTTGCAATTGTATATGTTAGCCTTTTCTTGATAAACCTAGTTGTTGTACACATTTAATATATTTTTAATTCTCTATTAATTCTCTATTCTCTCGTTTAGGGTTATTTTAGGTTAGCACGTACGTATTTTGAACGAGCGTTCCAGCTCACTAGACGCTATAAAAATCTGTTCTCTAGAGCAAATTTGATGTCAAACTCGCGGTGTTTTTCATAGCTTAGTCAAGTATTAAGGTGAAAATGATTCAAAAAGGCCAAATTTCCCCACTCGTATTTAGTTATTTTAAGTACTAAAGGCAATGACTGTAGTTTGATGACTTTCGTAAGACGTGGTTCAGTTAAAAAGAGCAAGGGAGGCACTTGAAAAGAACCGTTTAATTCGATTCTGTCTCTTTTCTATTCTTCGCTTTCGCTGTCTGTTAGTCTGTTTCGAAATCGTAGTGTATGAAGTCTTCATCACCGTTTTCTTCTCTAATGCCACTTTTTTCCCTCACCGTCTCGTCTTCGGGTCTAATCGAGAGCATTTTAAATGTCGCAGGACTTGGAGGACTGCACTGTCGACTCTGCTGGAATTTTCTTCCATGTTCAAACTGTTCCTTACTGCAAAACGGGAAGAGAAGCCGCAAGGAATCAAAGCAACATCGACCTTTCGTCGCGCTAGCAAATCTTACACGGGTTCGGTCAGGTGGCCGCGGAAGGATTCCCACACTGAAAGCGCTTCTCCTCTACTGAAAACCTCATATTCTTGAAAATCCGCTCTAAGCACCTAAGAAAGAAAATGAAATTTACATCAGAGTTGTTGCAAAAGCTGATATATACGAAAGTTCTATAAAAAGTACGGCTATTTTTAAGAACCCGGAACTCTGATACGATTGAAAATATCGTCACGCTGTAAAGCACATGTACAGTAACGTGAGAGCAACTTTTAACTCTTTGCCATCTCCTCTCAAAGTACGTGACGTACCCTTGGCTTAAATGAGCAGATGAGAGTTCAAGACTTGTTCGAAAGTCAGATAAATTTCGATATCTTGAGATTTAACGATTTCTCCCTTAAATACGTGACGCGTTGGCATACGTGACGCGTGATTTTTTTAGGATACTTGTATGAAACGACATAGAGAAACTCTCGAGAAAAATTTGACAAATTGGCCCGAAGCCTGTTCAATATGGAAATGTTGCACGGAGATTGGAAGCTAGGAAACCGCTGAAAGCCGTTGCAAGAGGATCCATTTTGAACACTGGTCAATTCTAGCAGCAGGGGGTAGGGAGAATTCGAGAAAGTTATAGAAACCCTTATTTATTTATTTATTTATTTATTTATTGCTTTTAATTTTATACAGTTTTTCTCGTTGGAAGCAACGCCGTCCTTCCTGATGTGGGCTCCTGTACTTTCATGGAGTACTTCTGCAGTACTCGTAAATGCAATGGTGCTTTTTATAAAGCATTTCAGAAAGACCCAAAGGCAGATTGTGCGTAAGTGATTTAAACGGTGGCGGTTCTTAAAGATGTTAGTATGCTGGATACCAAAACATCTGTTGCAACGCATCTGTTGTCGTTGCATTTTTTTCCAGGTCTAATTCATTTCTGTAGTTTGTTATTTCCCTCATTCCTCTTTACCCTCAGCCATCCTGATTTCTTTGGTTGGTTATTGTCCTTTTTAATTTTTCCTGTTTTTTCAAATGGCTGGTTTTTTCTCTTTCTTTCATTCTTTACTTTTTTGGAATTGAAGACCGTTTTCCGCGTCGAAATACGTCAAAACATCGCAGCTCGACTTTGACCTTGATAGTTTCTGTCTTATCCCTACAGCGCGGTGTTCAGCAAAATGAAAGATTGTGTGGTCAATGTGATGAAGTTTTGTAGGAGAGATCAACTGACCGAAAGCCAAATCCAAGACATCATTGACGCCATCGTGAAGAAAGAAGAAGTTTGTGACAAAGGTCGTTTGGGACTCCCCATTATGCCAGCAAGTATTAATCCTTGCTCGGCATCATTTAAAAATGATGTAACCATATGCGTTGGATGCCTTCGACGAACAGTTATCAAGGACAAGTCAGATCCAGCTCTTTGCTCGTAAGTCAAATGAACATGCCTTTTATATCTTCGATTGGAAGTGGACTGAAATGAGCGGAAGGGGGGAGGGGGGGGGGGAAGTATAACTTAATGCTTGCTAGCTTTTGTGGCTTCGCTATCCCTGCCTGATACAGGGGCGATTGATGTTGAACCCAAATTCACACTCACTAGGCAAAAGACAGAATACCTTTCAAACCGGGTAAGATACACAGCGTTTTTACACTAATTGAATGTAATGTGATCCCGTTCTTTCCCTCTTCTAATCCCTTGATTCCTATCACTGGATTTTTATAAGTATTGCTGCTAATCCAGTTAAAGTTCCAATCTGTAATCTGTCATGGTAAACCCCCCCCTCCCCCCTCGAATTTCGTCATAATTGTCTGACAGCTCGCCTGTATTCTTTTGTATTCCTGATCGGGTGGGAGAAGTGTGGGAATTTAGTGTATTCCTCAATGACAACCCACATTGACCGACCGAGGGCCGAACACTTTCCTCTCTTTATAGAAGCCAGCGCGCTTAACAGAGTGCCAACTCTTCACTCTTTAGAGGGCTTTCACTTTTTCAAGTAATCTTTGTAAATTATTTATTTATCAGAGAATATGCTGAAACAAAGAAGTGTTTAAGGGACCTGATCGACTCTGACTGCAACCACCCAGCCGAAAGCAAGAAAGAGTTCTTGGACTTGTATTATAGTGTCTACAATCCTTTCTGCGCGGACAATCGGGACCCTGGGGCGACTAAAAATGATTCTTGTTATGGCGTGCTGGATGTTAGTGCAGCCGCTGGAACCGCCGGAACTCCTTTAGCTTTAGGTGTCTACAATCCTTTGTGCGCAGACAATCGGAACCCCGAGGTGACCAAAAATGGTCAGTGCTATGGCGTTAGTGCAGCCGTTGGAACCAAGCTCAGTGTATTCCTAACGCTAATGTTTGCTTTTTTTATGTTTTTGTTCCTCTTTAAAGCTTAGACGGTTTAAACATCTCGTTTATCTTGATTTACAGAACTCGGAATTTCTAGTCTTATGGGTTTAACTTAGAAAAGAACAAAACAAAACACACACGCACAAAAACAACAAGAACAATGAACATGTAACATGATCAAAGAAGTGCAGTTCACGTTAAAATCATAATTAGCAACAGTTTAGAAAGTTGCGTTTCAGTAAAATGTTTGCTTTCATTTTTTGTTCTTTCATTTTTTTCAAATAATAAATGTTCATTGATCGAAGGGCTTCTTGCGAAACAAATATCAAAGATTGTGTTTTGTGATTGCTATATGGAGTCAAATTTGGCAACTTTTGTCGAAGTCTTGTTTAATTTGATTTAAGATTTTTTCTGTGAGAATTATACTTTTGTGTACAAGTACACTTTTTTTCGTACGATTGTTGCGTGCTGTTTCAGAAGAAAATCCGATCTCAATTTTTTCTTGTGGTTTACATGTCCGTTTTGCTTTCCTTTCATTTACTAGTCTCCCAAGTCTATTAAGATAATGCATATGGTCTTCCATGAGAGCTTTAACAGGCGGCACAATAAATATAGTGACCGGTTTGTTCTAGAGGAGAGAGGCAATAGATAACTGGCGCTGCTTGAATAGGCATGCATATATTCGTGCCAAATATCAAAGTGATTGATACCCTTCTTCCGCGACTTGTTTAGAGCAATACCAAACCCGACTAACATTATTGAATCAGTAATCTCAAATCCCTCCGTTGTCTTGATTCCAAGTAATATTTCTTCTTTTATTTTCGGTCATTGATTTCTAGGAAATAAGTGAAGAATTTTGCTTGTCAGTAAAATAACTTCTCACGTTTTACGTCACTCACCTTTATTTAATCCAGCATGCAATTTATTAGCTACAAAAAAGAGTGTTTTAATGGCACTGTCTTGTATCTTTAAACTGTGTGGAAATAAACCGAAGTAAAGGTGCCTCTGGTACAGCAAAGCATAGAGTATTTTTTTCCAAAAATCCCAAAGCGCTATCTCTTTTCACGCGAAGTGCAAGATAGCTCTTTGACTGCAAAAACAATTTAAAGAAACATGAAGAGCAGTTTTCCTTTAATAGCTTCCCAGAAAATAAGTTTCTACTCAAGTAATGGGTTCATAGTATTTCAAGGAGGAATATTTGTTCAACAAAAGGTTATCGCATTTGCAATGCTCATTTCGAAAGGGCATAAATTATACCAGAACAACGAGCCAACTGTGGCTTCTCTGCAAAAATCTTACTCTAAGGTGACAATAACACGAGGGGAAACTCTGAGAAAATGAGGAAAAACCGAGCCAATATCTGCGGAGGAAAATCGAGACAGTACCCTCAATGAACCCTGTCACGCAGACTAAATTATCACACGCAGAAAACACATTTCAACACTTGAATTCCGTGATCTAATATTGATGCGTGTAGACAAATACCACACGTTTAACGCCTCAAAATAAATGCACGTTTAATCAATTTGTCAGAGAGACGAATATTTAGATGTGAAGATGTGTAGATGTGATTCGACGTGAAGTTGATAATTTGAAATATAAATATCTAAGTTCAAATATAACAACGAGAAGAATGACAAAGTTACATGATATAAAATAACAAGGTCCATCAGTAAAACTCAAAAGCAACACGGCGCCAGCAAACACTCAAGAAACGACTTACTTAGTTGAAACCTAGTAGCAATGAAAATTATCAATGAGAATTATCCAAAGGAAATAACGAGCATACTGCAGCTGGCGAGAAATAAATCGCTATCGGACTTGCTTAATTCTTACATAACCTCACGCAAAAACGCGAACTTAATTGAATGGAAACAGAACATCACAGTGATTCAATTGTAAGAAAAACAGTAGAAAAACATTTCGCAGTTATTTGACAATAAATACAATTGCAAATTATAAGTTGCTACAGTACGGATTGAGGTTTAGATGTGATAAATTTAAGCCTTCAGCTGACGATATTCAGAGTTATACTTAGATAGAAAATAAAGCACAGTGTCGGCTTTTGATAGGTGTTTTATCACAAGGTGCAGTGCATTTTGTGCCTCATTGACATCGAGGCCAATGACACTCATACTGTTAGTCATGTGAGAGTTAAGATTCATTTGAGCTAAGGAACTCAGTCACGTCTGACAAAGGATTTGAATTTGAAGATTTTCGGTTGTCAAAGAAAGATGCTTAAATATCCCCCATTCATGAGATACAAGGATCAGTTGGATCCAACTGGTCCAGATGAGAAGGATGAAACTAGGTAATTTCCTTTCCTGCCCAGCCATGTATACAGGGCGAGGGAAAAATAAAATATAGTCAGTATTTAAAGACAAGTTTTTCCTTCTATTTTGGCTGAAAATGTAAAAAAAAACAAAAAAAAAACGGATGGTACTCTTCATTTCAACTAAGGCCTCCTTGTTCTTTAGTATTTTTAATACAAGATAAGAGTTCAAAAGCAAACAAGACACAGTAGGCTGTGTTGTCACCTCTAAATATCATGCAGAATTTTTTTAGTCATATTGATAAGTTTCTAACTCCTTGCTCTACACAGATCAGTGAATAGTTAACAATTATTCACCGAAGTCGAGGTAAATATCCAGATCTCTCTTTGACATTGAGATGAATAATTATTGAGCATATACCCCACAGAAACCAACAATTAGTTTATTTCTGTCGATAGACCAAAAATAGGTGGGAAATTAAACTCTTGACGTATAATTTTTGTTTCTTCGGCTGCATGGGGGTGAATGTCGAGCTCGACAGAGCCGGAATTCTGCATGACTGTGGCCTGAATATTGTTTATAGGTCTAGATATCGGCATGACAAGAATCGGACAAAAAAATTGTGTGGACTGAAAAAAAAACAACAACAACAAAAACCTTTAAATCAATGTTTATGCGAGAGCTTAGAGTGTTTACATTCCGCAGGCGTCTAGGGCTAAATGACCGGGAGCCGGTCAAGATTTTAATGCAACTAAGTGACAGGCAGTCGGAAATCTTTTCTTAAAAAATTCAACAAATTGAGGAGGTCTCAATAATCCCAATCATTATACGTCTATGACTAGAGGAACTGCTCGGCGTTTCCGAGGAGATTCATAAATCGCTTGTCTAACGCTCAGTTCACGCTAGTCTCCAGGCCGAAGGCGAATGCTGAAGCAGATAAATCAGACTCGTGGTTTGATAATTCATTACATCATTTGAAAACCGAATTCAACAATTGTTTTATCATACATTTGCTAAACAATCTGCAAAAGAACACACTTCTCTCTGACTTTGCGAACGTTTGAGAACAATACACAAACGAGGGGCTTGGAAACTAGGCAGACCATGAACTCGACTTGATAACCCAATATCTGCGGCACATATTGAGTTATCATGTCGACTTTACACGCTATTGTAGATTGACTGTATGCTCTCAACCAATCAAAGTTATTGTTAATTTGATATTATAATCTTCTAATCTTGAATATCTTACACAAACTCTGAATGGTAGGTAGCGATTTATTAGCTATAAACCAAAAAACCGTAGGATATATATATATATTATTTGCATGTGTAATTAGAAAACTTATTATTGTGACTTATCGATCCAAGAAACGTCCCATTAGTGGTCAGCATCTGGATTATAGTAACGATACAATCGATGTTCTGTGCTGCGACTCACGCGGACTAAATATACTTAAACCAAGTAATTTATAACAAAATAATTTACAGCAATATGAATTATAGCAAAATGATTTATAGCGAGATAATAATGTCGATCTAGAAATTAGAGGTTCCCCCTACTAGCGCTTAGATAGCCTCCTGGTCCGGTTTATCAGCAGTGCCCTCGTCCGAGCTTGACTCTTTTGTGCTTTTTGTTTTTGTTTAAAACCGTAAAATACCTCTCCAGCCAGCTCTTTTGAAATTAGTTTTTCGAGAAGCAAGCATGCCTTTTGTTGTAAACGCTTCTCCTTTAATATTTTCACCTTTTTCTCCTCATTTTTTTTTTCTGCGCGATTGCGGATCCTTCACAATGCAAGAGGAAAACTTCCTTTTCGGGTTTAGTAGAGCTGTTGTCAGCTTATTTGAGGCCTCGCGAAATCTTTGGCGAATGTGATTTTGTAGTATTCTCTCGTAATATTTGGAGAACATTAATCGATGACAATTTCACAATAAACCCTCGGTTTCGCAAGGAGAAAAGTTTATCGGTATATTTCATAGCCAATTTCATTGTTATTCAGTCAAAAACCTTCATTTCCTTCGAATTAGCATTGCCAAAATCCATTTCTGATTAAACTGCGTCGATAAATTATTGAACTCTGGCCAAAATCGTTTCCAAAACAACCCTTCGCCACAAATTTTCTTCCATCAACTTGCAATATTTACCACTTAGCGGTCCCAGAAACCTTTGCGCATAACACAAGGATCCGATTGCTAGCAACTCAAACATTTGACTCATCCCGAAGCGTATATAGGGTGGAACTCTTAACTGATCAAAGTCTGAGAGCAGATCAACTCCTCAAGGAACAGGATCAAGATGATTTTCTTCAGCATTATATTTGCCTTCGGCAATTCAATTCACCTTTGCAATCAGTTCTCAGATTATTATCGTTGTTTTGTGTTTCTGGTGCAAAACATTTGCAGATGGGCATATAATTTAAACAGAAGCTATAAATGTGCAAACAAATAAACGGAACCTTACAGACGCGTTTATCTGTGTGACATTTGTCTCATTAATGCTGTTGGCTAATTTTCAGTCTGTCTGATGATTTCGATATTTCCGATGGCTTCGTTTCTTATTTTTCATCGAGTCTTAACTCTTCTTCAGCAGAGTATGTACAATGTTCGTCGCCTTGCGTGTTTTCCTAACTCGCTTGATTGTCTATTTCATTCAAAAAGTTGGCAGTTACCTTCGTTGATCCCCTGACATTTTAAAATTTAACTTGTTAAAATATTCTTTCAGAACTTTTGTTAAAGCACTCGCGAAATAACAAATTGGAGTAATTTTTTGTCAGTTATTTCTAGGAAACGAGCCTTAAAATGGCATGTCTGAACAATCATTCACAAGTTTTTACTAGATTAAGCCGTTTATATAAATTCAGCATGCAATTTATCATCTACTAAAAGAATCTTTTGATGCCACAGTCTTAGATCGTTACATTTTGGGTGAAATCACCTGAAGTAAAGGTACCGTTGAAAAGTATAAATATTTTTTTCCTAGAATAGCAAAGCGTCACGTCTTTCTGCGAAGTTCGCAATAGGTCTTTGCATGATGACTGCAAAAACAATTCAGAGAAACAAGAAGTACAGATCTCCTAGAATAGCTTCCCAGATTTTTAGCAAACAAGTCCGCCTCAAAATCGTATGTTTGGACAGTCGTTTTACACGTTTTTACTTCGCTTCCGTTTATTT